AGGAGTTATTGGCTCAGTAGTGTGAGTTCTAATTCCAAATACATTTTGCTTACTTAGTCGATTTATTTCGCACAGCTAAATAAATTAAACCTTCAACTGCAAGGTGGCCTTACTTGAAGTTGCAGCAATATATTGCCATACATACGTTACATATCACTTCATCTGAGAGAGTAGGGGTTCTTGGCGATTATGATAACACTGCAGTGCATTGTAGGAAAAATCTCAAGTTTTGAAACGACACAAAAGAACACCGAAAGACGTGAACTTAATTTTGGATTATACATTACACTGTACAGCACTCGGCTGGGTATTAGACCAAACCAACTTTTTTTAAAAGACTGAGTCATAAGTAAAAAAAGTAAGTTCTCCGTTTTTCGAAGTTAGCCTCCGAGATCGAGATATGGGCCTTCGGAATTCGAAATTGGACCGTTGGTAAAAAATTATTTTTAATTATTAATAGTAAAAATACAGACGTGGCCCGCCTATTTCTATTATTTATATGGTATATAACTTTTTTTGTGAAAACTTATATTATAGGTGCTATAACGGATCAAAAGTCAGATCTTCGAAAAATTAAAAACTTAATATTTCAGAAAATCGTTGTAAAGGTGATTTAACCCCCTTTCTTGTGATATGCATATTTTTATACTTCATATATAAAAATTTGAGAAAAAACACATTTAAAGGAAAAAATATCTTTTTTTGTATAAAAAAAAATATTTTAAACAAAAAAAATACTAACTGATTTTTAAGAAATTGGTATCGTTATAAAGGCGAGTAAACTCCCTTTCTTCTGATATGCATATTTGTATACCTTAGGCTTATGCGTAGAAATATGTATGCAGTTATTCCGAATATCGCTGCCGATTTTAATATATAGCTTAGAGTCAAGCTTTTACACTTTAACATTCGCTCCTAACGAGAAAATTTATTATCAAAGTAAGGTCGAATAATGCTATAATGTAGCTATATAGGAGCTTTGCAAGATGCCCTTTTCACATCGCTCTTGAATTCGTTTTTATCGAGCGTTCGTTACTATACTGTCAGCCCGATGCTCAACTTCACAACTTTTTTATTTTTCCATCGATTTTCTTCGTTAGTACATACCTTAATATTTTTTGTAAAACAACAGGCTTTAACACAAATTAGAGATGGGCACGGAACTAGATATTCAATCCCGATCCCGCCCATCCCGCCGTTATTTTTTCCAAATTATAACGCGAGTCCCGATATTCCACACCGATCCCCAATACAAATGAAAATATTTAAAAAAAATATGTACTTTTTTAATTTTTTCCCTTTTAATGTTTGATTTTTTTCATTCGTAATGCAAATATCTTGATACAGAAAAAACGCATCAATTGTGTTCGAGATAGAACAACCCATTATTTATTTACACTTACTATGCACACATATACTGCTTTCAAAAACATCGGTGGTCTTTGGAAAGGCAGATATTTTGTCAAAAGGTTAAGAACCACTGGACCAGCGCAGTGCATTCATCTAATAGTTATTGACCGATATTTTGTTTTGCTTATTTGCTGCAAGTTTTCTACTGTTGATTTATTTCTTGTTTTTTTTTTTGTTCTTTTTCAATTCCATTTTACATTATTTGGTTTTGGTATTGTTTTCATTTTTATTTAGCACTTTTTGTTGTTGTACGTGCATACACATACACACATATTTTCTACTTGAGCTGATTGAACATCCAGCTGCGAACACAAATTGATTCCTCGCTTATTTAAGGGGCACACATGGATGCAATGGGACACACCTTGAAACAATATTTCATTATCCTGTCCCCGAGTTTGGTGCACTTACTTTGCTCGAGTGATTGACGGCTTGGTGTTTGCAAAAGTGTGAGTGAGTCAATCAGTGAATGTGTTTGTGTATAATTGAAAGGGTTGTTAAACACTAGCATTGTATGTATAGAAAGGAAATTTCAACATAAAATCAAAAGGAAAGAAACGTTACAGTTAGTTGCTAGTTGTTGCTGATGACTAAGGCGGAAAATCGTGTCCATGTTCGATGATTCTTCGTATAGATCTACACTTAATTAGGAAATTGGAAAACTTTTGTATATTTTAATAATAAGTTTATCATAATTTGGGTCTAATCCAGATTTCCAGAAGGCATCTGAGATCAAACAGTCGGTAACTGAATAAGGTATTTGTACTCTGAAAATAGGTAGATAGATAATAACCATAAAATGAGGTATATAATATCTCCTAAGAGTCTGATTATTGGATTGGTTTTCAGATAGGACCGCCGCTTCCCTGGCTAGTCTGTCTACTATCTCATTTCCCTGGTAACCTGGGATGCTATTGTAATTTACAAGGTAATTAAGTTTCTCTATCTACTCGAAGGTGGGCGTTGATGTGACCTTGAAATATGAAAAAGCCTTGAGTGCCGCCTTGCTATCGCTGAGGAGAGCTTTATCATAGTTCCTGCTCAGATTTATCTCCGTACACAGACTGATAGCATAAATGCTCGGACACCTCACCAATGGCATCGATATTCTAGCTCTCGAATCATAGACATCTGATCATATGCTCTCGGAAGTTTTCTCACTTCTATATTGGAGGCACTACGAGCTGCTTTGCTTCACGCGGGACATCAGTATGCCAGTCTGCAAAGTAGGGCTAGCAGAAGCTATGCGCTTGATCTCTCTATCTTATTGGGCGATATGACGTTTTCTCTGGCATAAAATATTATGCATAGATACCCTAAGAGCACTTCTGCATTAAAAAAAACTTAATTGTCCCTTATTTTATTTTCGTAGTTAGGGTTCGATATATACAAATTGTTGGATAAGGCCCAACATTTTTCCGATAAGAAGATTTGGGTAGCAATTTACGCAACATTTTCGGCAAATACTCTATTGTGTGATCCGGATTTTACGAAGCATGGTTCGTTTTTGCCATCTGCTATATAAGTAGTTAAGTGTACAGTCTCCTGCTCTCTCTACAGAGCTAACGTCGCGACGGTCAAGTGCTCATAGCTCTCGTGTTAGGCTAAGCGCACGATTGAGAGAATACAAAGGTTGCGCCGATCTCGGACCGCTATTCCTCTCTTAACGAATTTGACAGAATCGTTGTTTGCATGACGTCACACTGGTGCAACTTGTTTACATTTTCCTTGCGACATTTTTTCTTCTTCTTCCATTCTTGCTCACGTTTTGGCATTGCTCTCTCGCAATTGCACCAGTGTGACGTCACACAAAAGTTATTCTCAAAAATCCTCTCTGATCGGCGCAATCTTGTATTCTATCATTCTTGGGCTAAGCGCATAGTGGGGCGGCGAGGCAAGAGCATAGAGCAAAGCGTCGGTCTCAAATGCATATGTTTCAATGGGAGAGGGCATAGCGAAGAGAAAAGCTTGCATACACGTTTGTAATTGAAGTTTTGCTCGATGCTCCGCTATGTATATGTGACCTGGTCTACGAAAAGGGAGCTTACGTGCGAAAACTAGTTTTCTGTGAAAAAGCTGTTAAAAGTAAGCAACTCGTTTCGTCAGTTTCTCATTATCTCGTTAATTGTTCTCCGCGCCGGACGTCCAGTAAGTGTTGTTGTTGGTC